TTAGGAGGAATCATGTGATGTCGGTTGAAGCCAGAGAGTTTAAATAAATAGCTTCCTAGTTAGGCTATAGGTATGACTAGAACCCTAGCATAGCACTAATGCTTTAGGCTGACTACTTAAATAGGCAATCAAAAATTGTATGTATGACTAGTTGTACTCTCGTGATACTGATATAATATGTAAAGCCGGTGCTAAAAAATTAACATTGGCCTACCGCTCGTACTAATAAAGTGCCAAGGGCCTAAGTGGTCACCTTAATATTAAAAAAAAAAAAAAAAATTTAAAGCAATTTTTTTATATTTATCAAACAAGTAGTTATAAAGCATTTAAATTTAGTATTTAATTTATATTATATTTTAATGCTTAATAACTATTTATTTTAAATACAAATAAATACTTTTAGAATACTAAGTATTTAAAAAATATAATTACAAGTATTTATTTAATACTGCTATTAAATTAGTACAAGCTAAACAGTTTTTTAACTTTGTGATATAGTCCATTAGCATAAGTCAAACTAAGGTCAGCACCAAAAAAAATCTCGAATATCACGTGGTATAGTATTCTAAACTCATTTATAAAAGCTATATTATTATTTTACCTACTTGTCCATTAGTCGATTGGAATAAAATGCACAATATTGTAAATTGATAGATTCAAAAAACTCGATAATCGAGTTTTTGTTTGATTTTGCCGAGCACTAAATGGAACTGGTCAATGGTAGAGATGGGTTTCGTGCATGCGCATGATTCCTTAATCGTGTGCATTCGTGCGCATTAATGCGCATCCATGCGCACTTTATCCTATCTAAATTTTATATAGAAAAATTAAAGCATATATAATTTAGACCAGGGAGCGTATTGTCGGGAAGAATTAAATAATATGGATGCAAAAGTCTCAAAAATTTCCGAAAAGAAAATGAATGAGCATAAAAGAAGAGCAAGATTGGGATAGAGCACGTATCCGATATTTTCTGAAAGGAAAATATAAATTCCAAAAATTATATCATGCGATATCATGCACATTTTTCCCATCAATGGACAAATGTGCCAGCCCTACGTGTGACCCATATTTTGTTTACAATGTGGGGTCTTTGCCTTGAAAATCAAGTATGGGACATATGATTTACTATGTTCCGTAACTCGATTTTCAAGGCAAAGACCCCATGTGCGTACGTACGTACATACAGGGCAGAAATTTAAAAAAACTTCAATCTCCCTATATAAGGACAATGCATCAACTGTACATTGAAATAAACTTGCTAAAACTCAGTTAAAAATTACGCCAAAATAATTTCTACGGCAAGTAGAAATGGAATGGTTTATAACAACCTACTAATTGTCCGGAGTGGAGTGAAGAACTTACTGTCCAGACCTCTGTCCAGACCTCTGTCCAGACTAGAGATGGGAAAAATGCGCATTTTATAATAACATGCGCATGTTATATAAAATGCGCATGATATCGCATGATATCGCATGATATAATTTTTTGATTTTATATTTTCCGAAGGGAAAATATCGGATATTTGCCAAAATTTTCCCGACCTTCTCGCCTTTATGTTCGTTCATTTTCTTTTCTGAATTTTTCTTAATTTTGCCTGGCATTATACACCTTGACCTAAATTAAATATGCTTTAATATTCCTATATAAAATTTAGATGGGATAAAATGCGCATGATTCCGAATCATGCACATGAATGCGCATTAATGTGCATGCATAAAACCCATCTCTAGTACAGACCTCAGTCACGGGTGCCCTTGTAAAAATATATAGATATTTAATTTACCTGGGGTATTTTGTATTATTCATAAAACATGAGGATTAAATTCATATTCACCATGCAGATTTATTTATACAACCAGAAAGTTTATTTTTTTGTACATAACAATAAAATGAATATATAAATAATAAATATATTTTAACGCGAAGAAATAATCGGTAAACAGAGAATATAAAAAGAGAATAATAAATATATTTTTAATGCGAAGAATAATCGTTAAAAAGAGAAGAATACAACATAACTTTAATATCTAATACAGTATATTATGACTGAATTCTTTCTGGAAGCGTATGCAAAAATTACATAGATAGTCTTAATTAAAATACTGTTAACCATGGTCTATATTTAATTCTTTATTACCAAAATTAAACCGAACATACTACTGTATTCTGGTTGGTTCTTGATTAATATATTCGGCGCCAAAATACGGTGATCGATTCATTAATTAAACAATTATAATAACTTAGATTCTTTTAATAATTACACGACAAATCGGCATTTAAATTTGATACAGCCTTAATTTCTCTTAAAATAATCAATAAGTTAATTTTTATTCATATCCGCATATAAAATCCTTAATGCTATTATGTATAAGAATACCTGAAAACGCAAAGAAGGCATGCAAGATATTCAAACTTTTTTTGGTCGTTACAATTAATTATGATAATTACTTGAAAATCTAATACTCGGGACTAATGATTTTATTACATAATTATGACATTTTGAATTATTAATTTAATAAACTATAATTTTTTATAGGTCTCTTGGTTAGGTCAAATCTAGTGAATTTATTTGTATGTTAGGCTCGAATTATGAAGAAAAAGAACTTGCAATAAATTAAATGATAAAGTTAAGTAACTCGTAAATAGTATTTTGAAATTCAAAGTAAAATTAATAATAGAAAATAGGGGGTTTCAAAGTTAAAATCAGAGAATCTCATTTTATTTTTCCGATTTATAATTCAACATAGTAAAAATACTATTGAAAAAATCCTATTTATTTTCGAAATGCGTCACTTATTTGTTAACTTTGAAACCCCCTAATAGTTTAAAATTGAAATGAAGCACTTGGAGTTCTCTCAAGCATTCCAGTTATTAAGCTTCAATCTGGTAATGTTCAATATATATTTCAAGAAAATAGAAATGAAAAGGGAGAATTATATGAATGGGCGTGATAATGCAAATAAAAACCAATTTTACATTAAATAATTTATTTAAATTATGAAGGAAAAAGGATAGCTATTTTACGCTTTATCAATCATCAAAAGTTTCATTATCCGTCAATTTGGTAGTCAAATTTTATTTGAGCGCTACTAAGGGAAAATGGAACTTTGGGTTTCAACGATACAGGAAAAATTTTATAAATACGTACATTGGGACCAGACTTTTAGTAATCATATAGCTGGGCGACGTAGTCGCATTGAAACCAGCAGCTTTGATGCTAATATCTTATATATGCTGTAAATGATTTAATATAGTAAATTATAATATGAATACTGTCAAATAAAAATTCGTAAATACTGTACTGGTTTTAAATTTTAACGTATCGAACTTAAGCTCATAAAAAGTTTCTGATATGACAATATTTCAACATTATTTTAATTTTATAAAGAAATTCCAATTTTTTTTCTGAAAATTTTATATGGTGTATTACATACGTGACAGGAAAATCGAGGATTTTTTTTTTTTTTTAAATCTATTGCGCAGCTTACACAAACTGCACAGTATATTAATCATTAGGCCAAAATTTAAAAAAATTACTTATATTTATAATTGCATTTATTAGCTTATTTACTGTATTTCAGAATATTCTTCGTCATTCAACCCAGCATTATGCAAGCTAACTAAAATTATGTCAGCTGGCTTGAATTATAAAAATTACACTGCACAGTCGCTCAAAAATTCTGTGTAGCTTTCGCAGTGGTCCATCACAAATAATAAAGATAATAAAATTCTCCGTGTTAATTGAAACATGTAAGCATCGTCTGCAAATCAAATCTTAAGATGGAACGTCAGCTTTCAAAAAAATTCGTATTCTTGTAAAGTTTTGATTTTAATAATAACTTCAGTCAACTTTACTCAAATATAACTTTTAGGCTTAAGTGTAAATTTTTTATAAATTTCAGATAGTTGGTAGGGTTACAAAATTTGTAACATTTAATCTGCTAGACTAAGTTGTTTTACTCAATAATGTTTATAATAAATCTAAGTAACGCTTACTAATTAACGCAAATGAAATGAAATTAAAGTTATTATGCGATAATAAGTATTAATAAATCATTGGTTTTATTTTAACAATATTTGCTATCTAGTTTTTATTTGTGCAAAAGAAAATTTATGCGTTTGAATACATTAACTAACAATTTATATACTAAAAACTGACAGCTTTATAGCAATATGGTACCACTTTAACATATCTTTCTAAATCTTTCTCAAGATTTTCCCAATCACCTTTAAATCCTTCTACACCCACGATATTCAGAGTCTTCTTTCGGATACAAAATCTAATTATTGCATTGATTGTTTCACCCTCATTATTAGAAGGAAACCAAAGTTTTAGCTTTTTTAAAGGTGCATCACAATGATCGAGTAAAATATTAATATGCGAACCCAAATACATTCTACATAAATCAAGACATTGTAATGTTGGTGACAATATTTCTGCAAATTGCTTAACACAAACTTCCATCTTTTTTTCATCTTCTCCCAGTTCCGATTCAGAATTATTCCAACTTATGGTGAGAAATCGAAGTTTTTGTAGGCTTCTTATAAGCTTCAGGATGTGAGTGGAATATTTAACAATACCTAAAATACAGAGATGAACAATATTTGGACAGGAAGTCATAAGTGTTTCCAGTAAAACCGATTGGGATCGTATTAAATATCCTTTTCTGTCAAATTTGAATAACGAATAATTGTCATCATCTTCTTCTTCATCGTCATAATGCCTATTTTCATCGTTAAGTTTGAATCGTTCTAGTGATGAACCTGATTTTTCTAAAATTTGCACTACACCTGACGCGTTATACAATCCGGAAGTATCTATTTCTAAAATACTGATTTTAGAATTGAATATAGTAAATATATCATTAATGCAATATGAAATACGAATCTCTTCCAAATTTTCACAATCTCTTAGTGCTTCAAACTCTGTACTGTAATAGCAAGCTCCTAACTTAATTCCTTTTAATGACTCTTTTTGACTTTTTAGGGCTAAGACTATGCCATATAATTCCCAAGGTCGTGTATCTAATTTGCAGGTAAAGTCAAAATATTTAAGATGCTCTTGTGATTTAATAATGAAAGCTAATTCGTGGCATAATTGTGGAAAATAATCAGAATCATATAGTGCAACTCTCAATTCAATAATTTTTGTAACACTTCTTGCCAAGATATTTAATAATTTAACAAGATATTTGCAATAAGACCCGTATATAAATTCAAAATCATCATCAAATTTCAATTCACTTATTGCTGTTAATGAGATAGATAGAACACGAATCTTTGAGAAAAAATTGATATTTTGATCCAATAAACTGAAGATCTCTGGTTTAATTTCGATGAAATTGTTGAGACTATCTAATCCTAATTCTGACAAGGTAACTCCATCTTTAATAAATATTTTAAGCAATAAATTAGCTATATGATATTCTAATTTTTCGGTATTTTGATCCTTATCGTGGAGATGAATGTAGATCCATTGACTGACTCCATAATTTAGGAAAGATAAACCAAGAACCTCCAAGAATTTCATATAATGAAATAAAGGATTTTGAAAATTAATAATTATCCCATATTCTTTTAAAATGGATTTTACATCGTCTTCAAGGTCTTCAAAGGATGAAATGTATATAGATATAAACATTGGTTTATAGACCTGAAATGAAAATGGGCTTCGCCAAAGTATAGGAATTGACATCTCACACCAATGTCGACTTACAAGTGCACATGAATGTAAGGAATGAATTTCTTTATCTAAATTATTAAGAATTTTTTCCATTAATTCGGGCATATTGCCCATGAATATTTTTGATGCCATGCCATGAGAAAGAAAGATGATCTCTAAAAAAATTGTAGATTATCATGACCGCTTTCCATATTTATTATTTGTCTGTAACACCATTACGTATGTATCGGTATGTCATGCATACGTTTTTTAAATCCTGTTAAGCATGAATTGCCTCAAATCAGTTAATGCAAATCATGTAAATCAATTGCCCGGGTAACTAATTTATACAGTTTAAAGTACTTTTTCATATTGCAACGATTCACAATTTTTTCCTTACGAAATTATATTTTTTTTCATAATTAGATTTAATAGAGCGTTGCCTTTCGTTATATCAAATAATTTCTAAATCATCCCCAAACAGAGAACTTTACTTAGAAGCGAAGTTTCTATGTGTATTATTACATTTTGCAATAAGTAAACCAGATAAAATCGAGACATTATGAATTAAAAATACAGAAACAACCCAGAGTTACGTCTTAACTATACTATTATAAGTCTCTTTCTAACTATGTTGTCACCTGCTTATAATTTTTAAAAACCAACATTTACGTATTATCTGAATTTAATAAGGCATAAAAAGATGAGTTTTATAAAATTCGTCAAATTTCCTCAAACTTTGGCAGATTATTTCTCGATATCTACTAATTTAAATAGCTCAAAATTTTACTATAGATAATATATATAATTATTTATATCATACAAAAATTTTAGCTTATTTAGATTAATAGTTCTTGGGAATCTGCTTGTATACGATAGACAGTTTTTTAAAAAAATTAACTATTATACACCGATTTTTCAAGTATCATACCATCAATCCAAATTAGCCGAACTTTTAGTATATTATAAATGAATATATACATTATCTACAATAAAAATCTGAGCTGATTTGAATTAGTAGTTATCAAGAAAACTTCTGTCAAATTTTGAGAAAATTTATGAATTTTATAAAAAATCATTAGTACTGGTTTTATAATATGATAGGTAGATTAGCAATCATCTTGTCATGTGATTTTCCAAACGATACAAAATCTGCCAACCATGCATACTGGTCTAGGGAGGGCTGACAGTATTTTATTTTCAAATATACATTGGTTAATAAAAACCATTTATCATTATACATCATACCTCTTTATAATCACCCTTTATAATCACAACCTCTATAAAATTATGCTAATTTATGTCCCCAACTTTTTAAATAATAAATTCTCTCTTTATAATAGCAATGTATATTTAATCACTATTATGCATTTTTATGTGACCAAGTATTAAATACATATAGTAATTTTACCTTTTTATAATCACAAGTCATGTGTGTTTTAATGCTCCTAACCAATATCTACCAATCAAATCAGGATTTAATATATATATAATAATATGTTTGCAACACCAATCTAAAAGACAAATAAATATTCATATGTAGCTGTGTAACATTTTCATGTCAAACCAAGAACAGAAATATAAGCTTAATTTAGAAAACGGTGGACAGCTTCAATACAGAATAGTTATACATATATATTTTGAATTCAGATAAATAAGCATTGAAATATATACAACTAAATGTAGCATAACTATATTAATATGAAATGTATAATTTAAACAAACAAGAAATTTCATAAGAGTTTTAAATATACATAGTATAGAGTGTAAAATACCCTTTTAAAAAACATATTATAACAATCCACTACAATTTTCTAATGCTAACCCCAATAATACATAATGTCAGAAAAGATATTAAAAATAGAGGTTTTCACACATAGATCTGTTTATAATAATTGGAAATATTCTTGGAGAATGATAATTATGCAGACTAATATGGCTAAGAAGTTAAATAAGACATGAATAGCTCATATTAAATATTTAGACCAATTAGACAAATGAATAATTACTAAACTTAGAGTCTAAGGGTGCTCTCAATATGATTAAATAGCTATTGAAATCATGCATAAGTACTACGATTAATTGAAGCGATTTCTACTGTAATTTTGATAAAGATTCATATCACGTAATCTGAAATGCAGAGAATAAATTTAGCAGAACAAGTCTATGACAAAAAAAGTCTACTTGTTAAAGATTTTAGAGCTGTTAATGCTTGTATTGCTTCTTTAAATACTATATTTCATTAAAATTATTATTACCTTAACAACATAATAATATTAAATTTAATGCAAAACTACTTTGTGCTGTATTGGTATTATTTACCACAGCTTGATCTATAGCCAACCCATGACGCAAGTCATGACTTGAATAATTATGGTTTATATAATTTGGAGCTATGAATTTAAAAAGCCTATTTAGTTGCAGCTAATGCTAAGTTATAGTTAAAGTTACAACACCAAATTAGCTTAAGTTGCAGCTAACAGCTTGGTCAGCTAAGCTCTATTGTGGCTTTGAAATAAGCTGTTAACAGCCTGAAGACTATCTGGAGACAGGTGACAATAAATCCATATTTGGTTAGTTCAATTTCAAAGAATAATAATAAAAAAAAGTATTTACTTTAATTGAAACAAAATCCTATTAAAGCAATAATAAAAAATACAAGTTGAATATTCGTTGTAGTTAAACAAATTTCACATATAATGCTATGTTCTACAATATCAAGAAGTTTAAGTGCAGAATCTCACATTTAATTGCATTGTCTAATCAGTTATGAGATTTTGCGAATGCATATTACTAAAAATGTCATAGTAAACTAAATACTTCTTAATATTACATGTTGCTCCATTCCTGGTATAGTAAATATTAGTATTAATTATATAAAATATTATCTAATAAAGAGATTATACAGTTTAAAATTGACCAATCAGATTGTTGTAAGTAAATAAACAATACAGTCTACTCTTTCTATAACGAACCCTCGGTTCTGGCCAAAAAAAAAGTTCATTATATAGAATTACTATGTTTTCTTAATAGCCGTAGCTCTTGTTATACCGAACTAATATTAAAATTTAGAAAATTTGGGTTCATTATATCCAGAGTTCGTTATAAAAAGGTTCGTTATATCCAGAGTTGACTGTATTAAAAATTTTTTTACTTA